AGGGGAGGGGGAGGGGTGACACCAATTGTCATGTCTCTCCTGTTCGTCACCTCTTTGACTAGGATCCGTTGTGTCTGAGGTCCAGGTACTCTGTTACACCCCCATTCCACGCTTCTCACTTTTTCCATCCCACAACCACAATTCATACGACCACCACTACTACCCCCACCCCTCCCACCACCACTCCCCCCCCCCCCCACTACCACCAACCTAAGCATGGAGGTGCACCTTGAGTCTGGCCTGTAATTACTTTATTCACAGGACCCGGAAAATCAATTATGTTTTTTTGATGAAAAGTGAGAAGACCTTTACGGGTTAAGACTAATGGTTAGGTGTGGGAGGTGTCACTTGCTGTGGGAGGTGTCACTTGCTGTGGGAGGTGTCACTTGCTGTGGGAGGTGTCACTTGCTGTGGGAGGTGTCACTTGCTGTGGGAGGTGTCACTTGCTGTGGGAGGTGTCACTTGCTGTGGGAGGTGGTCACTTGCTGTGGGAGGTGTCACTTTGCTGTGGGCGGTGTCACTTGCTGTGGGAGGTGTCACTTTGCTGTGGGAGGTGTCACTTGCTGTGGGGGGGCCACTGCTGTGGGAGGTGTCACTTTGCTGTGGGAGGTGTCACTTGCTGTGGGAGGTGTCACTTGCTGTGGGCGGTGTCACTTGCTGTGGGAGGTGTCACTTGCTGTGGGAGGTGTCACTTGCTGTGGGAGGTGTCACTTGCTGTGGGAGGTGTCACTTGCTGTGGGAGGTGTCACTTGCTGTGGGAGGTGTCACTTGCTGTGGGAGGTGTCACTTGCTGTGGGCGGTGTCACTTGCTGTGGGAGGTGTCACTTGCTGTGGGAGGTGTCACTTGCTGTGGGAGGTGTCACTTGTTGTGGGTGGTGTCACTTGCTGTGGGTGGTGTCACTTGCTGTGGGTGGCGTCACTTGCTGTGGGTGGTGTCACTTGCTGTGGGAGGTGTCACTTGCTGTGGGAGGTGTCACTTGCTGTGGGTGGTGTCACTTGCTGTGGGAGGTGTCCCTTGCTGTGGGAGGCGTCACTTGCTGTGGATGTGTCACTTGCTGTGGGAGGTGTCACTTGCTGAGGGAGGTGTCACTTGCTGTGGGAGGTGTCACTTGCTGTGGGAGGTGTCACTTGCTGTGGGAGGTGTCACTTGCTGAGGGAGGTGTCACTTGCTGTGGGTGGTGTCACTTGTTGTGGGAGGTGTCACTTGCTGAGGGTGGTGTCACTTGCTGTGGGTGGTGTCACTTGCTGTGGGTGGTGTCACTTGCTGTGGGTGGTGTCACTTGTTGTGGGAGGTGTCACTTGCTGTGGGAGGTGTCACTTGCTGAGGGAGGTGTCACTTTCTGTGGGAGGCGTCACTTGCTGTGGGTGGTGTCACTTGCTGTGGGAGATATCACTTGCTGTGGGAGGTGTCACTTGCTGTGGAAGGTGTTACTTGCTGTGGGAGGTGTCACTTGCTGTGGGAGGTGTCACTTGCTGAGGGAGGTGTCACTTGCTGTGGGAGGCGTCACTTGCTGTGGGTGGTGTCACTTGCTGTGGGTGGTGTCACTTGCTGTGGGAGATATCACTTGCTGTGGGAGGTGTCACTTGCTGTGGGAGGTGTCACTTGCTGTGGGAGGTGTCACTTGCTGAGGGAGGTGTCACTTGCTGTGGGAGGCGTCACTTGCTGTGGGTGGTGTCACTTGCTGTGGGTGGTGTCACTTGCTGTGGGAGATAACACTTGCTGTGGGAGGTGTCACTTGCTGTGGGTGGTGTCACTTGCTGTGGGAGGTGTCACTTGTTGTGGGAGGCGTCCACGCAGACACAGCAAGACGCAGCAGACGCAGCAGACGCAGCAGACGCACAGGCCAACCAAGAACATAAGAAAATATTGAAGACTGAGAATGGGCAGCAGCAGATGTTAGGAATATGAAATGCTATTGGCCACGATATATTTCACGTTACTAATTATTTAAAAACTTCCTTAAGTTTACGTTGGTTTGACGCCATTGTATTCCATAATACATTTGTAAACACTGATCAGAATACGTGCAGTATATTCGTGATATTAATACAATACGAGGATACCTTTCCTCTGTTGCATCTTCGAGGTTCAGTGATACGTTAAAACTCCAAGCATTATTCCACTGATTAATCGGTTCGTGGGCTTGAGTAATACCTTGAAGCTAGAGTTTTAGAATAGCGTGTTTGAGGGATGGCTGCGGTGATCACACACATACACACACACACACACACACACACACACACACACACACACACACACACACACACACACACACACACACACACACACACACACACACACACACACACAGCAAACATACAGGACCTTCATATTTTGACATCGTTAAAATTGTTTAGTGTCTGGTGCTATAATAATTGGAGTGAGCAGTGTGTGTGTTGTTAACCTGCAGCCCCTGGTCCAGCTGCAGCACGCCCCTGTTAACAAGGCCTCGTGGTTGTTGGTGTTGGTGGAGGTTGTGGTGGTTGTGGTAGTGGAGGT